CCCGCCCCTGGAGAGGTCACTCCAGCAAATAAATACGGTGGGGCAGTTTACCGGTCAACAACCCCCTACTAGATGGACGTAGGAGCGGGGTACCTGGGGCTTCCTATTGACGGTAGGAGAAGTCTTCGCATTTCATGGGACAGCTACCGCCCGCCCAAGCTGGACAGCCCCTAGCCAATAAGGTGCTGTCCCATCCACGTTCCGCTTGTCTTACTGGGTGCATGAGACTTGGAATCTTGGAGACGTCACACTATGGGTAATGTTTAATAAAACATAAAATTCGTTAGCTTTGAATACCGAGAAGATATCCAACCATTTAGATATCCGCTAGCTTCTCTGTTATAATTGCACTGTCTTGATTTTGACATTTGTAGTTTAGGCACCGTGCTTTTCGATCTCTTCCCCCATGCTGTGTCATTGTATCCGCTAAATTGCACTTCTTCCTATCGTTAATTCCCCTCTGCAGATGTGCGAGCGACTAGTCAGTGCTGCGGTGGAACAGACCATGACTGACATGCTCTACTTAGTCGAAAACGATGGCCTAGTAGACCGAATGATTAAATCTTATTCCGGCACTACCTGAGCCGATGCCGACCAATCCACGCAGTTGTTTCCTCCTATTGTCCTGCTCCCTGTTGCTCTCGATCCACGTTTGTGTGCTCACGCCCAGATAAACTGTTGGTGCGGGGAATGCCATCGGATCGATCTGGGTCAAGGCCGCGTCGCTTCCCACCCACTCCCACTACCCCGTTATCCGTCTCGTGCACTTCACTCCAAACCGCCGTATATGCATATGCATAGTAACTGTTCGATGAGTCCTCTCTATTTATCTATGCCATGTACTGATCCCGGTTCGTTGCTTTGTGAATGTTGTCGGTTTTGTATATCGTATCTGTTTGTGTGTGTGTGTGTTTGAATGGTTGAAATGCCATCATCCCCCAACCGCAGACGTAAATACACACCCAGATACCCGAAACCGGCTCGCTTGTTACCCCACTAGATAGTGGTGATGTCGCTAGTGGATGAATGTGTTTTCCATGGATGACTTTGGTTCGAACGTCGTACACCGTTCGGTCCCATTTCTATGCTGTCTGAACGGTCGCTTGTGGCCGCTGCTCCATCGCTCGGAGCAATGCGTTTAATCACGCATAAACACATTGATCCCACTTTGTCTTGTTTATCTGTTGAAAATGGACAAGTTTTCTACCGTTTTCAGCTACCCATTTGCCGCCGTTTGGAGATGTGATTGAAAAACGTGTTTACGCGAGAAACGGTGCAGTTATGACAGTAAAGTTGAGTCCGTGCCTTTTAATGCGGACTACCCGACAAGAAACTATTTTCCTCTGGAATTTTGTCATATCAGTGTACTTCTCTTGTGTTTATAGGTTAATTATGAAAACAGTTTTTCGACAATAAAAATGTATCACGTGATATACTCGTAGCAGCCACTTCTCAAGCCCCTAACCAAGTCAACTCCTGAACTCATACCTAGTAACAGCCACGATCATTCCCGAAGTCGTGGGTCGAGCGTAGCCTAGTGATTCACAAGAACTTTTCCAACTCGGATATGTTTCGCAGTGAAGGTATATGTTGATACGGTCAAATCACCAAGCCTAAATGGTCGTTCTTTTCATTCACTGATTTGCGCAGCCAAAGTCGGATATACATATACACGAAACGTCGTCAGTCTTGTTGCAAATTTTAACCTTCCGTTTGGGAGATAGTGTTGATGCACACTTGACTTGTTCGTTAAATGCACACACAACGCATAGCAGGCAACCGTTACTCATTCTGTTCTGACATACCCGGCAAATAATATGTTTCCCTGGCGCGACTGAGGCCTCCGTTCCTACTGGCATGGCAGCAATGTTTCAGACCTATTAAGTTTTGTTAAATCGCCTTGGGCACTACCAGCCTTTCACCACGATAAATCAGTTCATCGTGAACGGTTAGTTCGTCTCGGAATTTGAAGTAGGGCGATACGTCCGTCAGAAGGGCTTTTATGTTTTCTGGCCAACCATGAGTGATAAATCCTTTGAGTTCTTGCATGCTCAGATCGTCAATAATAGCAACTGCCACGTTCACGGATTCCAATTTTGTTCCTGTCCTGTGTCGGGTATTGTGGCTGGTGATAAAATGTCCGCCACAAACATGCGTTTACTCTTTTCGTAATGATCTCTGGGTCCCCATCCAGGGAGCCTAACGGGACCAATGTGAGCCAGTCTCCTGGTCAAGGTTTTCATACTCTCATGTCAGGTTTTAGCTTGACCGCCCTTCATTTTTTTCCAACCGCTACCTGCCTCGCCAAGCATCGCTCGCCGTGGCCACCTATCTGGTGACATGCGTAGCACATGTCCCAACCAGCGTAATCTGTGGAGTTCGACTACCTCTGTTCCAGTGGACGACCGCGATTATCTAAAACTCTACGCCTAACCTCAGCGTTGCTCTTCCGGTTTCCCCACCGGACTGCTGCAATGCTACGTAAACAGCGGTGTTCGAACACCGACAGTCTATTTTTATCCTGTTCGCGTAAATGGCCAAGTCTCTGCACCGTGAAGAAGAACTGGCCGAACTGCTGCGGCATACACTCGACCCTTCACAGACAACCGGATGTCGCGACGGCGTCACAGATGTCTCAAGTTAGCAAATGCCAACCGAGCTTTCTGTATGCGCGCTGACAGTTCATCTGTGATGCGTTCGCCAGGNAGGTAGCAAAACTTGTCTACTTCCTCTACAACTTCCCCGTCAGGGTGAGGCTGGGGACTGGGCCAACCCAATCTTGGAGCAGCATTTTACACTTTGAAGGTGCAAAGCGCATACCGAACATCGCTACACTAGCCCTCAAACTATCCAGAAAAGCTTGCAACTAACCTGAATCTTAACTTAGTAGCACAATATCGTCTGCATACTCTAGATCAGACAGTCTGCTACCTAGGAGTAAATCGATACCGCTATCCCCGCACGAGGATAGGGCTGTTTCAAGAATTAAATCTATAACAGAGTTAAATAGAATTGGAGAGAGAGGGCAATCCTGTTGAACACCACTTTCGACAGGGAAAAAATGCCGTAAGCTCAGACTCTGCTTCGTCTATTATTGTAGAAGGATTATAATACTGAAGTAAAC